TGTGGAGGTGGGTGTGGGGGCCAGACCAACCCTCAACTCCGCAAACAGGTTCGTGTGCTGTCCCCCCCGCCCGCCACTGCGGTCACTCCCTCCAAGACCACAGTGGCCCGCAGCAGAAGACGGTGACTCCTGGGTCTGGACACAGGAGAAACGGGGACTCAGCTGGGGAAACTGAGTCATACAGCGGAAACCCCGCCTCCCAGCCAAGCAAGAGAAGGTTCAAGCGTGGCTCTAACCCCTCAATCACACGTCGCTGCTTCTCCCCGGGCAGCACCACGTCTGCCTCTTCTGGCCAGGTTGCTGCTGCAGCCTCAGTTTCCCCATCTGCTAGATGGGGGCAGGACTGAGGATACAGTGGGAGAGTGACTCTGGTCACTCTGTCCCCGCCCCTGCTCAGGACACAACCCAAAGTCCTCACTCTTTGTCCCCTGGGCATCTGGCCTCTGCCAGGCAGTCAGCTCCAAAACACCAGGCACAAGCCAGCCCTGCCCTGACCCAGGCCCACTGCCCTCTGTCCCCTTCACCCTGAGCTCCCTGCATAGCCAGGGCCCCGAGGTCGCCTGAAGGCCTTTCTAGCCGCTCCCAGTCCCTGTCTGTTTGCATGAGGCCATCGCCCAGGGGCTCTGTATTGCCTCCCCTTTTTAAATTTTATTTATTTGAGGGGGGGGTTGGCACGGGAGTTTGAACTCAGGGCCTCACACTTGCTAGGCAGGCACTCCGCCAATCTGCCTTCCCTTTTTATAAGGACACTAGTCCACTGAGGTGAGAGCCACCCTCAATCCTGATGACCTCAGCCCTGGATCCTAACCCGAATTCCACCCGCGGAGACCTTTCTAGAGAGGACTCCGTCCCCAGGTTCCAGGGGACTCGAGGGGTGGACTAATGATTGTTGGGGCCATCACGAGGCCACTATGGGTGTGACTCCCGGTCTAGGGGATGGGTCCTATGTATGCACAGAGGCCACAGACGGCACCAGGCAGGGCAGGCAGCCAGCGGGGAGGTGGCCACTGCCAGAGCTGGGATGGGGGCCAGGCCAGGTGACCTCCCTCTTCAATACCTTAGCCCTGTGTCCAGGGACCGGTTGCTTCACCATCCTGGGAAGGACCAGCACATTGTCCCTCAGTTCGACCAGGGAACTGCTACTTTCTTGAGACGGGGTCTCCCTGTGCTGCCCTAACTTGTCTCAAACTCCCGGGCTCCAGCAACCCTCCTGCCTCCACCTCCCGAGTAGCTGGGACCACAGGGCCACCACACCTAGCTATGTGAGGTCTTCTTTCAGCCCAAGTGCCATGTCCCATGCTACCAGCCAGCAGCTGACATTCCCATCCCCTCTCTCCCCGCTCCAATCCGCCAGCATCTTTGGGGGGCCCTGCCTTGCTTGCCCACGCCAGTACGGCCCTAACCTGGAGGCCCAGGCTGCCCTAGGCCCAGTTGACGGGGTGTGACGCCTCCCCGAGGCAGAGGTGTCCTCAGAGGGCACCACGCTGTCCCTCGGTCCACGTCTGTGCGAGGAAGTTCACATTGCACAGCCATGTGGACATGACGACCAAGGGCAGCTTGGGTTGCACCTCAGCCGGAGGTGGACACACAGGGTCCAAGCGGCAGACGATGGCCTCACAGGTTGGACCTGCATCACCCAGCCTCGGGGGAGTGAGGTGACGATGGCGCCACATCAGAACTCCCCGTTGCACAGCACACTTGAGGAAATACAAAGGGGTGAACTCTGTGCTCCGTGTTCTTCCCTACAGCTCAAGGTGGAGGCCCTGAGTTCCAACCACAGGGCTGGAAAAAAAAAAAATGAGGTCCAACCCATGCCACACGTGGATGGACCTCAAAAACAAGGTGCTGAGTGACAGAGCCAGGCACAAAGGCCACGTGCCATGTATCCGATCGACAGGAAATGCCCAGAACAGGAAGCGGGGCAGGGGCTGGGGACTGGGGGCTCCTCTGAGGGTGCAAAGGAGTTTCAGGTTGGCTGCCTATGGGCCACGGCTGTGACTATCACAAAAGCCACTGATTGGTGCATACAAACTAGCTGTCCCTGGGTGTTGGAGGGGGACCAGCTCCAGAAATCCCAAGGCCTCGCAGCCCACGGATGCTGTGGGGTCTGCAACAGAGCCTGCGCCCACATGGCCTCTCAAAGCCTCCCCTCCTGGCCTCCCCTGAGTCTTCATCCTGTCAAGGAGACACTGTAACTGCCACCTAGACACTTGCTACACTGTATCTTTGGAGAACAATGACCAGGGGGGGAAGCCTGTAGCTCTTCTAGGGAAGCCATTCTTTCCCCATGCACAGGTGGCTGCCTCAATCCCAGAATGCCGAGCCTACAGCGGGCTGCTGTGTGTCTCAATAAAGTAAGTCGGGATGGCCACCCCCGCTGCAGGCCCCCTCTGTCCCTCCCCTGCCTCAGCACCCACCTTCTTGCCTCCCCCTCCTCCTCCTCTCGGGTCCTCTGGGTGTCCCCCTGTGAATAGACTATTTTACACCTAAGGAATCATTCTCTCTGGTGCCCCCTAGATCCACGCCAGCTACCCCAAAGCATGGCATTGGAGTGTCCACTGGGTCCCCACCACCAGCACAGTCCCAGAATGCACCAGCTAAGGAAAACTGTCATTGAGTGAAATGAACCAGCTGCCTGCCCTAACCTTCACAGATCTAGAGAGGTTAAGAAACCTGCCCAGAGTCACACAGCAGAGAGCTGCAGCTCTTGGGCACAGTGGGAGGAACGCTTGTACCCTGGCTCCCCACCCCAACCCCACACGGCCCCCCCATGGCCCCGAGGCCCTGCCCCAACACTCATTTAGCAGACGGCCTCTGGTGGGGCCTCCCTGGCAGGAAAGCAGCTCCAAGTGCATCACCACTGAGCAGGACAGGAATGGGAGTCGCTCCTCACCTGGGCACAGGTGTGACAGTGCCCTGGGGGTCCACAAGCTTGGTCTCTGCGTCCACCAAGCTGGGAGGGAGCCTTCCTGAGGGGCACACCCACGTGGTGCGTGAAGACTGTGGGACGACCTGCCAAACGGCGACCCTCATGATGGGCAGAAATGTCTCCATATAGATGTCCCCAGTGTCCCCGGGAAGTGAGGCGCAGAATCGTCCCCAGTGATGGCTTCCAGGGGCTGGGGAAAGGGACAGGGAGTGGCTGCTGATGGAAACAGGGTCTCCTTTTGGGGGATGGAACATTAGAGGTGGGGGAGGGGTCACACACTGTGAGTAAACTAAAAGCCACCGTTAAACAAGTAACTGTAAGTGACATCTCGATAACACGGTTATTTGAAAGGAACCTTTTCAACAACAATCCCTTCCCAGCGCACCCACGAAGACAACAGGACCCCTTTCTTCCTGTCACACCACAAACACTTGGCACCAACTACATGCACACCGCCGTCCTGGGCTCCCCGACCGCGCACACGTGCGACCGCTCGCTTGCCAGCCACCTGTCCATCCCTGGCGAGAAGAAGGGCAGTGTCCCCCAGCAAAGGGACGGAGCCCGGCTGAGGATCAATATATCCTCGTGAAGACACACGTCCTCGACAGTAAAGTCAGTCACGATCTCGGGGAGAAACAGGGGACTCAATTATAACACGACCCCAAGTCCCAGCCAAGTTCTCCTGGGCCAGTCCAACGAGTAGCCGAATTCAGAAACCAGGGATGCAGGGTTTGCAGCCCTGACCTCCCCAAGGCCTGGGGTGCAGGGCAGGACCCCCCACTCTGCACTACACAGCAGCATTCTTGCCTCCTGACCCACGAGGAAGGTCTTGCCAGGCACGCCTGACCAGGGAGTGCCTCGCCCCCTTGGGAACCACAGGGCTGTCCCAGGAGAAGAGCCAGCCATGGTGCAGCCCCAGGCCCACACGGCTGCCCAGGCTGTAGGGACTTGCTCCCCACCCCAAGGACACCCCCACCCGAGGCACACCTGTCCTGCATTCTGGCTCCAGTGGCCAGCTGTCCCCTATCCCACCAGGAGGAACGGCGCCTGGTTCCCCAACATACAGGCTGCACAGACACAGATCTCTGCCCCACCCTGTAGCCAGCAGTCCCCTGTCCCACCAGCAGGAACCCTGCCTGGTTCCCACCATACAAGCCACAGGACACATCCAGCTGTGTCACTCCCAGTTCCAGGACACAGCGCAAACTGCGTGCTTGTCCGCTCTTAGGACGCCATGGGGGGCACTGAGGTGTTCCAGAGTGAGAGTACCTGCCCCATCTCGGTCTGCAAGTGGGGACATCTGTCCCTCTCCCGATACACAAGGAGGGACAATGATGTAGAGACAGCCCTCCCTTCAGGTGGCAAGGATGTGAGAGCACCTGTCCCCCCGGGTAGCAAGGCTGGGGACGCCTGTACCCCTGGATAGCAAGGATGGGGTTGCATGTCAACCTGGATAGCAAAATTGGGGATGCCTGTCTCCTTGGGTAGCAACGATGGGGACGCCTGTCCCCCTCGGGTCCCAACCCCCAAGCAATGCTGGCAAACATCTTCCAACTCACACATCTCAGTGTCACGGCGCCCCACACACGTGGCAGTGATGTGGGGACACCTGTCCTCTGCAGGTACTAATGATGCAGGAAGGCATCTGTCCCCTCGGGTGAGCCACCCGTGATGTCAGGACACCTGTCCCCTTCAGGTAGCGCTGGAGCCGCACCTGTTCCCCCTCCCGGAGGTAACAATGTGGAGGCCCGGTGCCCTCCAGGTAGCAGAGACAGGGTGGCACCTGTCGTCCCCCAGGAGCAATGCTGCACCCCGGGGATCCCGAGGCGGGGGGGGGATGGGGGAGGGGGACCGTCCCGCCCACGACGCGGGGCATGGGGACACCTGTGCCCTCGGGCGGCCAAGCCCCGCCCCCGCCGCGCCCCGCCCCCGCGCGCGCCCCCGCCCCCCGCCCGGGCACGCGCCCGGCACGCGCCCCTCCCTCCCTGCCTCCCTCCCTCCCTCCGCCGCCGCCGCCGCCGCCGCCGCCGCTGCCGCCGGCCCGCGGGGTGGGCGCGGGCGGCCCCCTCACCCGCGCGGCCCGCGTCAGGCTCAGGTCCTTCATGACCTCCTCGAAGGCCGCCGTCTCTTCCGCCTGCTTCTGATTGTGCAGCGCGATCTTCTCGCTGAATTTCCGCGGATTGTTCGAAGTCGCCATCTTCTCGCCGCCGCCGCCTCCTCCACCACCTCCTCCTCCTACTCCTCCGCCTCCCGCCCCCCACCCGCCCGCGCCACCGCGCACGCGCCGGTCGGGCCCGCGGGCGGCGTGGAGTGCGCATGCGCATGGGGGGGCGGTGGTGATGGCGGTGGCGGCGAGGAAGTGCAAGGCGCAGGCGCGCAGCAGCGGCGCGTGGCGCGGGGGCGACGGCGCATGCGTGCGCCGCGGGGAGAAACAGGGAGGGAAAGGAGTCGGGGTTCCGCGCATGCGCGGTGTCCCGCTGCTTAGTTCGCTGGACAGCGGCCGTCCGGCTGCGGGGCCGGAGTCCATGAAGGCGGTGGGGTAGGATGCGGGAGACAAGTCTGACCCGTGCCCGTCCAGTTTGCAACGGTAGGACCTGGCATGTCCCCAAGGATAGGTGGCACCCCGATTCAGAGTTCTGAGACCAGTCCCGGGTTCCGGCCATTGGTGCATTCCCTCGAGGTTCATGGAGCACCTGCCGTGTGTCAGGTAAAGTGGGGGCACGCAGGAGCCGGCACACGTGGTCCCTGCCCGGGGCACGGGGGAGGGGAGCGAGGGTAACCCACACATGCCCACGTGTGTCAGGGGCGCGCCTAGCATGCGCGATGCCCCGGTCCATCCCAGACCCGCCGAGAGAAGGGGAGCTAGAGAGAGAGACAGACAGACAGACAGACAGAGGGGGGAGGGGGAGGGGGAGAGAGAGGGAGAAACTGGGGCCACCAGGGGCAGGGAATGTCACCTGCAGCCCCCAGCGCATAAACCCCGTCCATAACCCCCTTCGTTCAAAGGTCTGTGCTTTGCATTGGGGTGGTAACAGAAGGATCCCGAGTTTCCACCTAGATTCAGCAGAGAAAGAGGTCACAGTCTTCCCGGTGGTAGAGAGGTGACCCAGGGAAGTGACACCCAGCTGTCTGTCCTGAAACTAGGAGGATTGAATTAAGGATCTGGGCCGCTTAGGGGTTCTGTCTGCACCACACACAGGCACACTGTATACTAGAGTGCAGGATAGCTGGGGGTGCTGGTGGAGATTCAGGGGACAGCAGCATTTTCTAGCAGGCTCTTCGCACGCTATAGGACGGGTAATAAAATATCCCTATTCAAAGGTTTTCCTCTGGAGTGTCCTGGCCATTGGCCACGCCCTCTTTCAGTCCTTGTTCTTGTGGCTTTGAGCACTTTTGTGCTTGACATGCATCTCCTACCCTGCCCTTTCTGGCGACGCCTGTCCTTCCGGGACACCCTCTGTTCACCCTTCCAGAGTCTGAGAAGTGGGTGGGGCTGGCCTCACGACTCCTCCCACCCACCGACGTGGACGGCTTGGCCAATCAGCACAGCCCAGTGCCTGGGCCGTCAGGATTGGCTGCCAGTTTGCCCAATGAGATGCGACTCTGGGACTTTTGCTTGACCGTGGGAACAAGAAGACTCCGCCTTACTTGAAGGTTGCACGGTGGGAAGCCCCCGTGTGAAGAGGCTGAACACATGTCTAGGAAACAGAGCCCAAAGGTGTCCAGCTCCTGGATGCAGCTGCACCTGAAGCTGGATACCCCTGCCTTTTTAGTGATACGACCTGAAAACTCTCTTTTGCATGAGTTTATTTGAATTTCTTTTTCTGTGTCTGTCCCTGACTGAGACCCACTTCCCAACGGCAGGCGTGTGCTGCCGGTGGCTTCTAGCTCTTGCCACCATCCCGGGAGGTAGAACCCAGCCCCAAGGGAGGATCCACCTTCTGGCCCCACATGGCTTTTTTTTTTTTTATGGTTTTAGTGAGGTTACCTGTGTCCCTTACAAACATCTGCAGGGAGCCACTTTCCCGACACAGAAAGGTGGAAAGAAAAGATTGGGCAAGGTGTCAGGTTGCAGAAAGGACTGCACCTCAGGTGAAGTGAGTCCAGTGGCTGCCCTACCTCCCCATTCGCCTTGACGGTGACTCAAGTCCCCTTCTGCTCCACTGACCCCCAGGTCAGAGGAGGGTGACCGGGCAGAATCCAGGGCTGAAGTCTTCCTGTCCCCCCTCTTATTCCCTTCCTTCCTTAAGCTGGGACCTGGGCACGGTGGCCTTGCCTGTGACCCCAGCCCTCAGGAGCAGAGCCTGAGGCCAGAGGATTGGGAGTTCCAGGCCAGCCAGGGCTGCACGGTGAGGCCCTGTGGCAAAAAAAAAAAAATTAAAAACAAGGGTGATCTTGTGATGCTCCTCAGAACATCCCGTGGCCTCTGTGAGCCACAGGGACCCCATTACCCATCCTACCCTCTTCCCGAGCCCCCCAGACCCACCCACCACCTCCTCACCACCCCACCTCCAGGTCTTTGTGGGCATGGCTCCCTTGGCTGGGCTGCTGTCCCCCTAGATCCTTGAGTGGCTGGCACCTTCCACCCTCAGGCCTCTCCTCTGAGACCCTCCTAAGGACTGTGGGCAGCCGTCCCCTGGTGTCTCATCCCGACCCGGGAGCACCCCACCCTGAAGGCAGCTGCTTCTGGGGTGCTGCCTGCTCTGTTCTCTGCTGACTGAGATCCGAAGCTGGAAGTTTCCTTCCTCTTTTAACCGTTCCTGTGTGACAGGGAAAGGACTCGACACAGGCTTTCCTACTCTGGAGGCTTGTTCTGTACTCACCTGTGTTCATTCTACTTCCCAGAATAATACTACATGGCAGGATTGGGGGGGTGGTGGCACAAAAGTGTTTGTTAAATGACTTCCAGCCTACTCATTCCTCAAGACTCACCTTCTCCAGAAGGCCTATCCTGATCACCAAGGAGAGCTGAGTCTCTCACTCCAGGCTCACCCAGGCCTGGGTCACTCTCTGGCCTGTCCTGGAAGGGAGGGAAGTGTCCAATTGCTGAAGGGCTTCACTTGGGTTACGGAACACATCTTATAAACCACTTCCTGCTGCCTCCTGGACCCGTCCTCTGTGTCATAGCTCTCTCTGACCCATCTTGCCCTCCACCCCGGTCTTGCTGCCTCAGGGCCTTTGCACAGCTGGTCCCCCTCCTGGAGAGACCTTTCCCCTGCATCAGGCCTCAGGGAGCCTTTATACAAGGTCAATGACAACCTGAGCTCCTGTGGGTTTTTGGCCAGGCCTTGTGCGTCAGGGGGACGGTGTCTTGGCTGCTCTTCTGGGGGAAGTGTGGGTAAATGGCACCATTAGCTCTTGAGAGATTAAACAGATAAGGCTCGGGAGGCACTTAGCCTCTCTCAGCTGGCTGTCCAGCTCTTCCTTATAAGGGATCCCTGGCTTCTCGGGGTGCCCACATGGCGGGGAGGTAAATTCAGGCCACAGACTCATCTCCGACCCCAAACCAGGCCCCCCGTCAGAGAGTAAAAGGCACAGTGAGTGCTGGGCCAGGACTGCAGACAGGATGCACTGGGGATGGCGCCAGCAGGGCTCGGGCCACCTCTAGGGGGCAGCCCACTTGTGCTAAGGGAGGTTGGAGGGTCATCCCGCAACACCCAGAGCTTCCTCACCTGCCCCGATGTCACAGACAGGGGGGGGCCCCCAGGCCTCTGGTGCCACGGCTGCAGTAGAGGAAGGGCTGGCTTTTGTTCTCTGTTTTTCTTTACCTGGGTCCCCATCCGAGTCTGGGGAGTCAGCCCTCAGTAAGAGAAGTGTGAGCCAAGGTACTGGCCCCGGTCCCCCCACAGCCCCGGCCCCAGATTCTGTGCCCATGGTCTTGACCGTGTCGCTCTGCAGTCCTTCCTTCCCGGAGAAAGCCGTTCCCCCACTCCTCATTTTGGGGCTTGGTTATGAGATTTGCCTGGCCAAAGTCAGATGGGCAGATGCGATAGTGTAAGAGTTCCAAGTCTTGACCTTTGGAGGGCCCGAGTGGTTCTGCTTATCCATTTAACACAGGGCAGCGGAGCGTCCTGTTGTCCACGGCCTCACACCTGCAGAGTGGCCCAACCGAGGCCAGAGGAGAATGAGCACGGATGGCTACGGCTGACTGACATGCTGACCCGTCTCTGCTCCCCAGGCAGCTGGGACACTGGCAGAGGATGGGGCTGAGCCAACAGGGCTGTTCCACCCCAGATCAAGTAGGGCAAAGAAACAGCAGGGCAGGGCCACCTGGCTCCCCAGGGGCAGCGGGGCTGAGCGCCGTGCAGAGACTCCTCGCCAGCCAGGCCGCTGACATTTCAGCTGAGGGCCTGGCTGTCTGGCTTCCTGGTCCCTCGACTCCTGTTTTCTCAGCCTGGTTTTCCAGCCTTCCTGCCACTTCTCTGAGTTTCTGAGTTTTGTTTTGTTTTGCTGGGTTTTTTGTTTTTTTTGTTGTTGTTGTTGAGCTACGGTCTCTCTGCTTGGCCCAGGCTGGCCTGCTAGTATCAGAATATTGGACCAACAGCACCTGGGATCTGAAAAATCAGAGGGTAAGAAGACCAAGATGGTGTGCCCAGGATTTCAGGGCTCACGGAGAAAGCCTCCTTGTTCCTCTCCTAACTTGCTCCTCATGGCCACAAGATGGCTGCAGAAGCTCCTGGCATCGTGTCCACATAGGAAGCAGTCAGGAAAGGAAAGGGGCAACAAGGCCTCTCCCTTGTCCAGAAACACCCGACCCCTCACAGCTCACTGGCCAGAGCCGGGAAATGAGCCCAGATCAAAAACAACCCTGGCAAAAGGCACTGCCAAGAACGGCTCTGCTGAATCTTAAATCAAGCCCGAAGCTGGGCACGGAGCTGCTGGCAGCAAACTGGGGTTCTACTGGGGAGGGGGTCATGGCAGCTGGCTGGCCACACAGACTACAGGGGCCGCACACAGACGCCCGTGCTGTGTGGGGCACGGGTTGTGCCTCCGCGTCCGGCAGGACCCCTCGTGTGGGGTGACCTCATTCCAGCCGGGGCCCATCGTGCCGGGCAGGCCGGGCCAGGTGCCACAGGAGAGCGGAGCGTGGTGAATCCATGCTCGGGGCCGTGAGAACGGAGGGGCTGGCCCGGTTTCCGGAGCCGCAGCCGGAGCCAGGTCCGGGCGGATTCCCACCTCACACGGCTCCCCCGAGGCCCCCTTGGCCTGGCCTCCCGCAGGCCCCAAAGTCGCGCTTGGCCTGGCTCTCGGCTGCCTGCGCCGTCCCGTCCCGTCCCGGGGGGCCGGCTCTTCCCACAGCCCGAGCCCAGGTGCGGAGGGAGGGGGCGCCGCGGTCCCCAGAGCCCAGAGCCCGGGTCCCGGGTCCCGCGGGCGGGCGCCGAGGCCGCGCGGCCGTGGCTGTGACCGTGACCGCGGCCGCAGGTGGGCGCGTGTGCGAGTGGGGCGAGCGCCCCCGCCCCGCCCGTCTCCCAGGGACCGGCCGCTGTGCACAGAGGGAAGCAGCAAGCCAGTTTGTGCTAAATTAAAAACAGCTTTTCCGTGTTTCAAGTTTACAATACGAAAAATCATTTTCCCTTCTTCCGGGGCTGGGGCCCAGCACATTCCGCGCCCCCCGCCCGCCCCCTGCCAGCGCTCGCTCACGGGGGACAAGATGTCCCGAGGTGTGAGCTGACGGGAGACTTGCAGCTGGCACGGCCGCTCCTGCGCAGGGGCTGCCGCAGGGGCCCAGATCAGGGCTGTCCCTCCCCGGGCAGCGGGGGTCCCCCCAGGTCACGCCCCGGCCACAGCCTCTTGCCTTTTCTTCAATAGGCGCAAAATGCTTCACTTCAGCGCTGTGCCCTGCCACCTCCTCACCCCACAGCCCTGCACCCAGTCTGGTCTGCTGCGAGGTCAGCCATGGGGGAGGCGGTGACCCGGGCTTCCCACTGAACCTGCCTGAGTCCCCGTCCCCGTCCCCGTCCCTGGGGATCTGGCTTGGCCTCCTCACCTGCCCTCCGGTCCTGGGATTGAGGACCCCTGGGGGATGGGGTCGAGCCCCCGAGTCACTCCTGTCCCTCTGGGAGGCCCTGCCTGGCCTAATTGTGTCCACAGCGCCAGTGTGGCAGTCCCTGCAGGTATTTCCACTGCCCCTGTGTCCAGAGGCCAAGCCTGCTCGTTCCCAGCTCCTCCACAAGAGGAAATGGCTGGGTAGGGCCAGGACCCAGACGCAGGGCCCAAGATGACCCACAACCGTCCAGGCCTAGGCCATCCAGGCACAGTGCCTGTCACCCCATGTCACCCCCGTGACACCTTTATTCAGTAAAGGGAGGTGTTCGGAGATGAGGTCAGAGAAGACCGGTGGTGGCAGGTCCCCTGTTAGCAGCAGGAGAGACTTAAAGTTGCCATGGAGTGTGACCCTCACGTAGAAGAAGGTTTAAAAAGAGAAAAAATGAAAAAAAAAAAACCCAGAAGCAAAAACAAAACTAAAAGGGCTCCGAGTGAAGGCGTCAAAACAAATCAGGTGGAGGGAGACTCTGTGAACCTTTGGAGTGCATGGCCTCTCCCGGTGGCCCTGCTGTCCCCGTGGATGGCTCAGGCCAGGGGTGGGCAGGCAGCGGTTGGGTGGAGGGCAGGCAGGTAAAGTCCACCTTGGGCCTGCGAGGTCTGATGTGGGTGTCCTCACCCGGGTGCTCCCCTGGCCCACAGTGTCTCGGCCTGTCCTCCTTAGGCCACATGACACTAGCCCCTGGGGATGGCCCTGGGAGCCGGTTGTGTTTCCTCCCAAAAGGAGGTGCCGGCCTCTCAGGCGGGAGCCATAGTCATGGAGGGCAGGGCAGCCTGCAGGCCGGCCGTCCTGGCCGCCAGTCACCCCAGCTGGTCGCTCTGCCACCTATCCTTGCCCCAGACACAAGGGAGCTGGAAGGGACCCGGGGCCCAGGTTAACGGGCTCACATGAGAACATCTCAGGCACGGCCAGGCTGGGGTGCGCAAACTGAGGCAGAGCCCGCAAGTGTCGCGCTGAGGAGACCCTGCGCCCCAGCCAGCCAGGCGTGCAGCGGCCAGCTGCGGGCTCCCGGGCTGAGCCCTCGGAAGCGTCCAGAGTCAGCGTCTGCGTGAGGCGAGGCGAGGTGAGGCGGGGCAGGGCCGGGGGACCCCGCGCTGGGGCTTGCGGCAGGGGCGCACGGACTAACTGACGCTACCTCCTGGGCCCGGCGGCGCGGGGCAGCAGGACGGGGGCGCAGGCGACGCCCGCGAAGGACTCGGGGAAGTGCAGGTCCCGCTCCCACTCGTCGGTCTCGGTGTTGTACACCTGCACGAGCCCCGTGACGTTGTTGAGGCGCCAGTTGTAGCCCCCCACGATGTAAATCTTGCCCTGCAGCAGGCAGCAGCCGGCCTCCGACTGGCCGGCGCGCATGGGCGCCACGCTGGTCCACTGGTCGGCCTCGGGCACGTAGTACTCCACGGCCAGCACGTCGAAGCAGCGGTCCACGTGGTCCATGCGGCCGCCCAGCGCGTAGACGCGGCCGCCGGCTCCCACCATGGCGTGCAGCACGCGGGGCTCGCTCATGGGGGCCTTGAACTCCCACTGGTCGGCCGCCGGGTCGTAGCACAGCAGCGCCTTCTTGTCGTCGGCCGAGACGCCGTAGCCCCCCGAGATGTAGAGGCGGCCCCCCGCCGCGGCGCCCGCGTGGCCCCAGGTGCGGCGCTTGAGCGCGCACGCGTAGTCCCAGGCGTCGCGCCGCGGGCAGTAGCGCTCCACCGAGGCCAGGCTGCCCGCGCGGTTGCGGCCGCCCGTGGCGTACACCAGGCCGCCCAGCGCCGTCAGCTGGAACTGGATGCGGCTCTCCTGCATGGCCTGCAGGCGCAGCCAGCGGTTCAGGTGCGGGTCGTAGCGGAAGCAGGCATCCACCGCGCCCTCGCCGCTGCGGTACTGCAGCTGCTGGCCGCCGGCCACGTACACGAAGTTGTCCAGCACGGCCACGCAGGCGTGGCTGCAGCCCACCTCCATCTCCGTGAGCTCGCGGAAGTGGCGGGCGCCGGGCTCGGGCAGCTGGAAGACCTTGCTGCTGACGGCGCGGTCGCTGTCGGTGTAGGGCGTGCCGCCGAAGGCCACCAGCGAGGGCGCGTCGCAGCGGAGCGCCGTGCGCGGGGACTGCATCTCGTGCTGGCGGGAGGGCAGCACCTGGTAGCTGAAGGCCTCCAGCAGGTACTGGCGGCACAGCACGTCCTCCACCATGACGTCCAGCGTCTGCACGCTGTCCACCAGCTCGGCGGGCCGCATGAGCGGGAAGCGGATGTGGCACAGCACGTGACTGGCGCGCGGCCGCCGGGCCGGGTCGTGCTGCAGCCAGCGCACGGCCGCGCGGAACAGGTCGATCTCCGCGCAGCTCTGCAGCCGGTTGCTCTGCAGGAAGAAGACCAGGCGCTCGAGCGGCAGGCGCAGGAAGTCCTCCTCCTCCGCGATCTGCAGGAAGTGGCGGAAGGTGAAGGCGTCCACCGACTCCCGCAGCGACGCCAGGCTGAAGGTGGTGGCCATCTGGCCGATGTGCAGGCAGGTCTCCACGCTCATGGCCGCCTTCAGGAAGTCCTCGCACAGCTCCACCAGCGGCAGCACCTGCAGAAACACGGCGGCGCCCAGCACGTCCTGCACGCACTCCAGGTCCAGAGTCACCTCGGCGCTGTAGGCGAAGTCCACGATGTGCCGCAGGCCCCGCGCCGACAGCCCCTGCAGCTCGATGATGTCCTGGCCAGCCTCCCGCATGCCGCCCGTGAACATGGCCCTGAAGGAGGGACACAGGCTGGGAGGGCCGGGCGCACTGCGAGGGAGGAAGGGGAGGGAACAGGCACCCACGTGTCTCCCCACCCGCACTGGAGCTGGTGACAGGTCCTGAAGCTCTCAGCCTCTGAAGCAGTGGCCACTTCAGTGTCCCCCCCCCACTGTGACAAGCTAGCAGCCCAAGGCTGGGATCAGGGTGGCTGTGTGGACACTGTACCTCTAGTCCAGCTGGGCCCCAAACCCTTGGGGACTCAGTCCTCATCTGTCCCCTGCCAGGTGGGGCTCCCTTGCAACCATCACATTAGGACAGGGAGGAAGTGAGGACTGGGAGCAGGGCACCCACAGGACTGTGCTGAGTCCACTGCTGTCCCCACAGGCCCAGGAGGGCAGGGAAGTGCCCCACCCCACACATATCCAGGACAGGCCACTAGCAGAGTCCCAGCCCATGGGGACCCAGTGGAGGATGACGGCTCTGTTCCCAGGTGGCGCTGCTATGGGGGGCAGAGGCAGTGCGAGAGCTGGTGAGGGAGGTGGACCTGGGCACCAGGCCATGGGGGCATCCCAGGCCTGGCCCCCACCAGGCAGGGGGAGAGAGAACTGGTGACCTCTCAGAGGCCACAGAGGTTTCCTCATGGCTGGCAACATTCCACACTGACCACCACTGCTGCCCGTGCACCCTCCTGGTGGTGGCTGAGGTGGTGGGCACATCCCTTGTCCATTTGCCCAGCAGATGCCTGGGCACCAGCGTCACACCTCACATGGGTCAGGCCAGGCCACTGAGGACAGACGTGGGGTGCCATCAAGGAGCCTCTCGCCAGCTTCCCGGGCCTCCCAGGGTCCCTGCACTGCCAACTCCAGCCCTGCCCTGCCTGTCCCCTGGAGTCCCCCAGCCCTGGCATAGTGAGGAAGACAGAGTCAGTGGGTGACGGCAGAAGCTTTGCCTTTTAAGGCTTCGTGGCTGCGGGGCCAGCACAGGAACTGTGAAGGGCACCATGGCTGGGCCAAGTCCCCCCCAAGAACAAAAATAGCTGAGGTTCCCCACGACAGCCCCGCCAAGCCCACAGAGCAGGCGCTGGGCCTCAGGGACTAGGAGCACAGCACCCGCCTGGGCCAGGGTGAAGCCGGGAAGTGCCCCAGATGGCCTGGCTCCCTCCAGGAGTCACAGCCTGGTAGGAAAGAGGCTCACCTGCTGTCACTGAGGGAAGAGGGAGACCAGCCCCTGCCACCCTGCTCCATGGTCCTCTCTTCCAGCCTGGCCACAGCACAGGGAAAGACGGGCAGGCCAATGTGTTCACCAGGGTCTCCGGCTGGGATGCAACCCAGCCGTCAGGGTCAGCTCTCACCACTCTGCTGTCCTGAGTGTGGGCGCCACAGTGCCAGGGAGCTGGCAGGCCCATTTCACCCTGCTAGATCCAAGGCGCAGACCAGCACCTGGCCTTCAGCAGGTGTCAAATAAAGACTTAGAGTGAAAGCCTGGCCAAGCCCACCAGCATCCCAGGTGGAGGCGGCCAAGCGGGTGGCCAGGTGCCAGTGGCTCACGCCTGTAATCCTAATTACTCAGGAGGCAGAGATCAGGAAGATCGAGGTTCAAAGGGAGGGAAGGAGGGAGGAAAAAGAAGGTTCTGCCCCAAAAGAGAGAAAGAGAAACCAGCCCCTGTGTAGAATTGGCTTCTCTCTGGAACCACCTGCCTGCTTCCTCATGGAGGCCCCTGGCTGGCGCTGAGATAGTAGGACCCTATTAGAAGGTGCCTACTGGTGCCAGGCACAGTGGCTGACACCTTGATCCCAGCACTCGGGAGGCAGACATTGGGAGGATCACAGTCCCAGGCCAGCCCCAAGCAAAAAGGACAAGACCTTATCCAAAAAAACAACTAAAACAAAAAAGGATGGGGCATGTGGCTGAAGTGGTAGAGCACCTGCCAAGCAAGCACAAGGCCCCAAGTTCAAACCCTGATGGCCATTAAAAAAAAAAAAAAAAAAAAGGAAGGCACTGCTGTCCCCCTGCCTGCTGTCCACTGGTCCCTGCAAACAGACACCCATCTCTGAGTCCCCAGGGCCAGCACTCACCTGAAGTAGTCGCTGCAGGCCGCCAGGACCACCTTGTGTGCGTGAAAGGCCTCTCTGTTGACAGTGAGGACGACGTCCAGGAGCTGGCCCTGCGCTCGGAGGGTGGCCAGGCCCTGCAGAAGGCTGGTGCTGTGGCCGGGCGCTGAGAAGGTACACTTGAGGGTCCCGTTCTTATCGGCCAGGCTGTGGAAGGCAGAACACGAAAGGCCGCAGGATGTGTGAGTCCCCTGACAGGAGTGTCCAGGACAGGCAAACCCAAGCCACAGGAAGGGAAACGGGGAGTGACCACTCCACAAGGACAGGGTTTACCGTACAAGTGAACACGTCCCGGAACCGGGGACAGCTGGTGGCTGGGAACCTATGAAGAAGTGGGCTTAGGGCTGGGGACGGCTTTCCCAGCGTGGAAGAAAATAAACGACTAAAGTAAAAATCAGACGCGTACAGGGAGCCCACAAGATGGCCCTGCATCCTCTGGGTCCCATGAGCCGGGCCTGGCCCTCTGTGCTCTGCTCACTTTGCGGTACTTTTGCCAAACGGGGGGCAAGTGAAGAGTTCAAGGTCTGCCTGCACCCTCCATCCTCGGAGCATAGCACGAGGAGACCCCAGGGCTCCAGTCAACACCCGCCGCACAGGGCCATGGCCCCTCCCCAGCTCGCTCTCTCCCCCAGGGCCTCTGATCCTCTGGGACTTGCCCTCCCATTCCTGGGACCGGCGCCGGGCGCACAGGGCCAGGAATGCAGGCGCAGGTCTTTCCAAGGACATGGGGCAGGGGGAGAGGAGAGGCTCCCTGGCCTCACTGTCCTCCAGCCAGGATGACACCAACCACTGTGATCCCAGCACTGGGACAGCTGACATAGGAGGCTCGCAAGTTCCAAGCAGCCTGGGCTGTACATTGAGACCCTGCCTCAAAAAAGTCTAAAAAGAGCAGGCACACAGCTGGCGCTCACTCAAGGTGGCTGTGAGCTCCAGGCCCCTGGCCTCTTGCAGGCTGCCCACCTCAAACCCTTCCGGAGACCCTTGGGAAAGGTGGGCAGGGGGCTGCAGAGCCAGGCAAGATGCCTGTTCCTGCCTTGCCTCCGAGGGGCTCTACTGCAGGTGACAGGGGACCCAGTGTGGGGGCCATTCTGTGGGGCACACACCTGCACTGGGCGGGAAGCCACTGAGTCTCAAGGGAGAAGGGAGCACACAAGACTTGAGCTCAAGGCCACGGCCACCAGGCTGTGACAATGCTGAGTGCTGGCTGCCAGGGTGCAGGAAGGCAAGGGAGCCAGTGGATCCAAGGTCCTGGCTTATCCCAATGCCTCTCCCTGCCAGGTGGAGGGGACACCCACCTCAGTGACTCCCCCTCAGCGACTCCCCATCTCCTGCCCAGGCTGCAAGTGCCAAGAAGGGGTTCGGAGACTGTAACCAGAATGTCATGGATCGTGGGCACACTCACAGGGCTGCCTCCTCTGCACAGCCCCCCGGGCCTCCAGCACAGCAGCTCCAGGGACCCAGTCATGCTGCCCTTCCATTCCACCCTCTGCCAGTCCTGCAGGCTGTCTCACAGGGGCCGGGACACTGGATGTGACAGAGGGGACCCTGGCCTCAGGGACTGGTGACGGTTAAAGCAGCCAGCAGCAGCTGCGGGTATGGCTGCAGTTGGGATCCTGCTATTGGATGGTTAGTGTCTGAAGGACAGGGACAGGAAAGAGGCACCCCACCATCTCCCACCACACTTAGACAGTGAAACTATGGGGTGAAGACCAAGCCCCTTTCTGAGGACTGGCTGCCTCCCAGTGACCCACCCATAAGCCACATCCACCCCCTTGGGACCCGAGCTGTGCCAGGGTGCAGACCCCAGGCCTGCCTCCTCCAGGCCTGGCCTCCACTGTCAGGCTGCCCTGTGCCCTCCTGCACGGCCTCTGCCTGGCCTCTGGTCTCCATGTTTCTGAGCAGCAAAGACATCAGTAGGGGTGGCCCCAGACCCATGGCCAGCTCAAACACCCCATGGCGCTGCGAGCAGCGAGCAGGCACCTCCGGGACCTCCCTCCCAGGATGGGGGAGAACACTGCTTCAAATTGCATGTGAATTTGTTGTTGGTGACATGGCTAAAATGCAGGTGCAGGCTCAGCCCCACTCTGCAGGGAACTGGGGTGCATTCGCCAGAGTCACCCAAACCCAAAGCCTGGGCGACAGGGGGCTGCAACGACAGCCGAGAGACTGCTGCTCCAGGAAGCTGCCTGGCTGCACCTGGCCTTGGCTGTTCAGGCCCTCCCTGCTGCACTGCAGGCCTCCCTGCCGCTCCCCGGCACTCTGGCTCTCAGTTCTCCCAGCTGTCAACGGGGCCGTGGACGTCACGGGGGCCTCCATTCCCCTCCAGGAAACCGGGACTACAGGTCACCAACCTCCCCAACATCATTTTGGGCCAGGAGCTGGGGAGGCCCGGCAGGGTTCAACACCCCAACACTGCCCCCACCCACGGCCATGTGCCCTCTCCATGTGGCTGAAGGCCAGGCTTCGGACACTTGAAGCTTGGAGCCACCACAGAGCTCCACACCCGATGGACACCAGTGAGCCCCACGTGCCTTTCCATGGACACCTGGCCTCAGAGGTGTGCCCAGGCCCAGCGAGCCCGCGCCATGTTGCTTTGTCTAGTGGTTTTCCCTCAGAGCTTGGAGACTTGGGGTTGTGTGAGGGACACCGTACAGTCCTCTGCACCCTGGGAGCGGGTGTTTGCACGCGTTTTCACCAGATTTCCTGCCAGGGGCAACTTTACCGTGGTGCTCAGTCCTCACGCACACAGCGCTGCGCTCTTCCATATGTATGGAGCTCTGAGAACTCCACTGAAAGCCGGGCCCCCATGAGAGGCCGCAGGAGGAGGAGCCCAGGGAGGTGCGCAGGGCAGTCACACGTCAGCAGGGCCGCCGCGCCGGCAGACAGTGCTCACGTGCTCTGGTGGGAATGAGAGCAGGACAAACCCCAGGAAGGTCGCCTGGTGACGTGGACCCCCAGTGCCCATGAGGGACTGCTTCCAGGCCGCCCACAGATAGAAAACCCCAGCGCTTCAGACGCAGCATGTGCACAGACCCCGCGCACACCTCCCTGGGTGCTTGCGCTCCTCGTGCTGCGTAAGTGGTCGCCAGTGCTGCTTGAGGAGAAAGCGGCAGGGCCTGCTCGGCGCACACAGTTGCAACTGGAGTCCCTCTGCCATGGTTTGCGGGCCAGAGCCGCACACCGAGGGTGGGGCGGGCAGTGAGGGACGAGCCTGGGCCTCTGCGGCGTGGGAGTCACAGCCTCAGATGGACAGAGGAGGTGGCCCAAGGCCGTGGGGGTGAAGGCACAGATGGTGCACACAGCAGGCTGCCCCCTTGCTCAGAGTGCCGGTCACATGTCCGCCTGTGCAGAGAGAACACTCGGGGACTGAAAAGTCAGGGAGGAAGGCAAGGGGATGGGTGTCCAGGCGTCCTGTCCTCCTCTGTCACTTTTTGATGATTAAAAGACAGAGACCCAAAGAGTTCCCCCAAGGACAGGTCCCTGGCTTCCCAGCAAGCCCGGGGACTGCCCGGACCTAGGAACACAGGGATGGCCCAGGTGGCCAGCTGGGCCTCTTGAAGGAGACGCTGGGCCCAGGCTGGGGTCTCTGCAGCTCGGCCTCTGGTTGCTGGGCACTTGGGGGCTACTCGGACACTGGGTGGGATTTGCAAAGTGGGGCCAAGGGGGTCCTGCCTGTCAAGGCTGTACGAGGGTAAGGCACGTGGGTGCAGAGACATGGGGCTGAGATGGAGAGGCTGGCTATGACGGTGTGGCCACCAGCGGGGACAAGTGTGCTGTCGGAATTCAAATGTTCCATCCGGGGCTAGGACACCCCCGGCTCAGAAAATGGGCCAGGACCCTCCCATTGCCTGACCTTCAGGACAAGGGAGGAGGCAGCCTTGTCCTTCCGTCCTCCCTGTCCTCCTCATGTCCCGCCAGTGGGTGTGACCCCATGGCTGCCTCTTCCTTCCATCCCACAGACAAGACAAGTGTCCCTGACACCCACACCCAGCAGGCTGTGCTGGGAGCTCGGGGAGAGGAGGCTCCAGGCACAGCCCTGTGAAGACGGAGCGCGGGGCCTGGCCGGTGGAGGTGGGAGGAGGAGGCGGAAGAGGCGATGACTAAGGTCCTCGGGCCAGCCGGCATCAACGGGAAGGGCCCAACTGTTACTCAGCCCACTCTCAGACAGGGGGCGGCCGCACGGTGGGGCCACAGGCCCCCAGGAAGGCGGAGGCCGTCCTGAGCCAGCGCGAGGCTCCAGACGGCCACTCGAGTCACGGTCACCCGCACGTGAGTCATCAGAGCAGTGCGTCAGCAGCCCGGTCAGGACGTCTCTGGAGGTCACTCACCACCCGCCCTGGCTGCACCCTCGGCCTGGATCTGGCCTCTGAGTGGCCCACGCCCCCGCCTCAGGCCTGGCCTGGCCATCCTGATGAGCCCCTGCATGTGTCCCCAGCACTGTCACCGTGCACCCTGTGCGGACAGCCAGGCTGCCTGGGGTGGCTGGGCACTGGGTCGGGAAGCGTGGCCCCGTTATCGGCCCGGGGCCGCCCAGGGCTGCCTGCCGTGGACGCCCTCCTCAGGGAGCTTCCCCTCCTCCCAGAAGTGCACCATGGAGCCCTTGAGTCCCTGTCCTGGGCACCGAGAGCACCCTAGTGGGACGGGCCCCAGGAGGCTCGGAGCCACACTCACCATGGCCAGGTGCCTGGCCAGCAGCTGGAGCCTGGGGACAGATGGGGGCAAGCACCTGCGTGGCGGGCGCCCCTGACCCCCAGCTGCTGGCCTTGGGGCATGGTTGGCTTCCCAAGCCAACAGGAGACCCAAAGCCCAGAGCTGTTCTTTCCTTTGGAATGTCAAAAAAAAAAAAAAAAAAAAAAAAAACAAGCATGCAAGAAGGATCTCATGGAAACATTTCTTTGGGGTTTTGTAAAGTCCGTTCCCACCCCCACACGGAGCCGGCCGCGGACCACGCTGCTGCGCGCACACACTGTTCTGACGCGCAGCCCGGCCTCCAGCCCGGCGCTTCCACTTTCCAAGCCAAGCTCGGTTTTATTGCCATGTGGTTCCACAGCTCTGCAGCAGCACAGCTGGTTGGCCTGCACCCCAGCCATGGATGCCGCCACGCCCAGGGTCCCTGGAGGGGGAAGATGCGCGCTGGAGGGGATG